TTACAATCAGAGAATGACTGTTGTCTTGCAATTTGAAGGCCCATTTCCTTCACAAGATCATGCATCTCAATATAGCCATCAAGATCAAATGAAATGAGGGATCTCTCTCTAAGAACACTCATATCAATATCTGCAGAAGAGCCATGTATTTGTCTTATTGTGTTCAACAAAGAAATCTCAACTCCTTCCTCGATGAAAAAACGACAGTCAAGAAACACATTCTGTTGTTTGTCGTCCAATTCATCAAAACTCACTTGAGAACATCGACAATGTGTTTTGGTGGATCCTGATTTAGTTTATCCAAAGCACTTTCCCACTCTCGTTTTCCTCTACCACAAAGAACGCAACCCAACACTACCAAAGCTAAGGATTTCCTTGACAATAGTGCACTATTGATTTTGATAACTCCATGAAACCTTGAGGTTGCTCATTTGCTTGAAAGCTTTCAAACTAAAGAGATGAAGGGCATCTTGGGAATCCAATTTTGAAACTGTGTATGTTGTTGCACAAGCATTCTAAGCACTTGCTTGTCTCGTGAAGTGATAATAATTCTACTCCTTCCCCAAACCAATCACATACGTTGATCAATCTTCAACTGCAATGAACTTGTCCACATCATCAAGCACCAGCAGAAGAATTTTTTTTTGTTGGAGCCTACTTTTCACAAAAGTCGATTTCATCTTGTAAATGTTGATATCCTCATCTTTTAGTAATTCTTTAAGGCAGTTTTCCTGTAATACATCCAATCCCTTTCTAGCTAGTTGTTCTCTGACATTTTCAATAAAGCAGAAAGCTTCAAATTGTGCTTTCAAATTGTGAAACACAACTTTGGCAGAGTGGTCTTGCCAATACCACCCATACCCCACGTTCCCACAATGCGAAACTCATGTAGTAGCTCTTCAATTTTCATTATCTGGTGATCGATCCCAACTAGTCCTTCAACATGAAAGGATGACTTCCGATTCAATTTGCTCAAAAAATCATCAACGATCTCTTTAACAAGTTTGGATTCGGGCCTAGCGCAAATATAAAATAAAAGAAAAATCATATTCAAAGTTCAAAGAAAAGAATTATAAAAGAAGAATGGTTAAAAGCTACCTAACACTCTTGGAATCCCATCCAGAGAGACTTGTTGATTGGATCAAAGCATTATCCACTTTTTCACTTTTTCTTGGTTGCGTTAAACTTTTGCTTAAGCTTAGCAAATCCATATCCGAAATCCCATTTTGTTACGAATACTTGATGGATCTTAATTGTAGAAAATAGGAATGGCAATCCTTCTATATTTATGGTTGCATTCCATGATGTGAATGAGTCTTCCATACACCATGTTGAAGAAGCATAATCTTGAGAGAAAATAATCAGAGAGATCTCTGATTCCTCAATTGTTCTCAAAGAAGGTGTGAGATATTATCTCCTTTGTGGAGCTTGTGATCCATAAAAGTTCGAATGTTTGCCTTGCAAAGTGCTTCATAAAGATGACTAGTGAAATTGTCCCTGGTGTCTCCCCTCTAAGCTAAGGAATACATCATACTTGATTGCAGGAGGAGCAATGTCAACATGAGAAGAACCGTGGAAGTTGAATCAACATCATCTTTACAACTTCAAACAGAAAGAAATCATCAACAAACATTGGTTTATCAGCAAAATCATACAAAAAGAGAAAAAAAGGAAAAAGAAAAAAAGAAAGGCTGAGTATGGGGTTATTTAGAACAAGTTACCGAGGAGAGATTCTGAGAGCTTTGTAAATTGCTGCAGCCAACAGCACCGAAAGCAATAGCTGCACTCATGTGGAGCAATTTCTTGCTTCAGCCTTCAACTTTAGCTTTGGAAATCCGAATCAAAACAGAGTATTTAAATTCAGATTTAAGAAAATATCTCATATTGGTTGTTGAGACATGGATTTAGTAAGAAAAAGAAAAAATCCTATTCTGTTCTTCTATTTCATACAGGGCGTCCTACCAATACTCATCTATTACTGTTAGGTTAGTTAATTATTTTTCATTTCCAAACTAAACATACACAAATAATTTTATCAACTATATTAATTTTTATTTTAGTCTGCACACTTCGCAATTTGTTCCAAGAGTGAAAGAATTGATCCCTCAAGCTTTCAGAATCCAAACCAACAAGAAAAAAAAAACCCTCAAAATGAGCAGAAATATTAATTTTAATGGGGCAGGAGGAAATGAAATAATGAAGATGAAATCAATATATATAAACGAAATTGCTATCATAATCCATGTTTGATGAGTAACAATAAAATGGGGAGTAATGAAGATGAACTGATGAAAGAAAGAACAAGCACTTGGCTTTTGAAATTAAAAAAATAAAATAAATATGCCGTTTGCTTCACAAAAAATTGAATAATATAAACGAAGATCACTTTCACTAACAGATCAAATTTCAAGTCCAACCGCAAATAGTTAAAGGTTTTGTGACCTTGTTTTTCAAAAGTTACAGCATTAAAGATCTATGACCGTAAGGTTGCTAGGAAAAGAAAATAGCAAATCTTTTGCAGATTTTTTCCAGGGAAAATAGCAGAACAGTAAAAATCAAGGAAGTAGATGAACAAAGAGAAGGATTAACCTGAAAGGACGTGGATGGAAGAAGCAAAGAAAAGAGCTTACAAAGTCTCAAAAATGGCAGCTTTGATCGGCAATTGATTGCAGATTTCCTTTCCTTGCTCTCTCTTCAAACAAGTTCTTCGATTCAGAGATCAGAAGATGCCTCACCCTTCATCTCTCTTCTCTCGCAGTCTTTTTATATTTCTGGCTCTTGCGAAGCTAAGCGTGTCGGTGGTGTCGCCGTGTTGCACTGCTACTTCATCGCACCTCTCGGCAGCTTTAGTAAAAAGAAAAACATGAAAACTCACTACAAATAAATCAAGGATTTTTATGTGATATCACTTGGTACAATAAAATGTTTTACAGGGAAATGCGTTTTTCACTCTCAAAAATTCTGAAGCATTGACTGCAATCGAACACTAGCAGTATACGATTACTGTTAGCCTTCAAAGCAGATTCAGACTACCCTCACTAAGAAAGCAACCACGAACGAGGGAAAAGACAGAGGGTGAGGGGAAGGAGGGGGACGAGGACTGACCACGGACGAGGAAGACGGAAAACCGCCGAACCAGAGGACGGAGGCAACGCGGGCAAGGAACAAAAACGGACGTGCATAAAGTGGTTTCGGCTTCTCTAGTGCTCTCCAGAACCACTAACAATATTCGGTGTCGTTTTCTATTATGAAGGGAGGTCGTTGTCCATTTTGCTTTGAAAATCTCAGGCATTTGCTGCTGAATTCCTTTTTTTTTTTTTTTAAATAATGCATCCATAATAAACTTTATAAAAAAAAAATCTATAGCATTTGAATTTTTTTTATACACATACTTATTAATTAATTATATTGTAAAGAAAAATTATATAACAAAGAAATTAATAGTAATTAAGAGATATTGATTTTAATTCTTCAAATAATAATAATTTTTGGGAAAACTTATTGACATTATATATTCAAAATACTTATTTCTAATTACGTTAAGATATGTGGATTTTTTTATGGATTGTTTGTTCTATTATAAACCATTTTTATTAGTAATATTAATACATTAAAATTCACTTATCTCAATTTAATTGAATAAAAAAAATAATCATTTAATCATTATAGTTTTGACCCAATTGTAACGTAATTATTAAACTTTGATTCATTATAACTTAGTCCATAAAGTTTTGACTTGGTTATAAATCAGTCCTTGAATTTTGTATCTTCTAATTTAGTCTCTGAAATTTTAACATCTTAAATATTGGTCTTTGTATTTAAAAAAATAAAATTATAAAGATTAAAAATATTTTAAAATTTATTACTAATATCTTAAATTACTAAACCCTTTTAATCTTTATAAATATTAAAAATTTAAAAGATTTTTAATCTTTATAATTTTATTTTTAAAATATAGGGATTAATATTTATGCAATTGAAACTTTAGGAACTAACTTGCAAGAAGCAAAGTTTAAGATTAATTTACAACTGAGTCAAACTTTAAGAATTGAATTATAATGAGTCAAAATTTAGGTAATGAATTATAATTAAGTGAAAACTAAAATGATCAAATAATTTATTTTTTAATAAATAAATATATTATGTGTATAAATTAAGTATCTAAGTCTTAAATCTTACTTATCATGTTTTTGACCATTTGAATTATACAAATTACTTTTAACTAATTTTTAATCTTTATGAAATATCATATTTGAGGAAATATCTACAAGTAGGGAAGGATGCAAAGGTGAATTCTCTACTAGTTGTAATTGTTACCATGTTAACAACTAACCCATCCTTTCGTGTACTACAAATAATCTCTATTCTCATCAGCACAAGTAAGATCTAGAATTTAGTTAAGATCTATAAGCCCTTATTAATATTATAACCTACAATTCTAGTCAAAAGATATAAGGAATGTATAAAGAGGAATTGATTGTGCATATGTATGTATCCGACGTGTCATATGGTCAATAAGTTTGTACTAAGTTGTAACAATGAATGTGCCATTGTCACATGACTGTTTGTATTGTGACAATGTGCAACAAGTTGTAGAGTGAGTTATGGTCACATGTTTATTTGTATTGTGACAATGTACCTTAAGATTTGAAATGTGAAATATGAAAATGGATAGTTGTGAAATTACGACTTATGTCATATGTATTCTTATATTTTGAATATCCAACTCCCTTTATATATTTAAAATTAATTGATATATAACTATATAGAGTAAGATACATTAGTTATTCAATAATTATAATCACCCTTCTCTTTAAATATTTTACAGGTTCTAGCTCTATTGCTGAAAGAAAAGATTCTAGAGGCTTAAAAATCTACAGTTCCTATTGTAAAGCCTCCTATCTTCATTTATTTTTATGTAATAGTTAAGAATACTGTCAATTAGGATGCATTTGGCTTACACTTGCATTATGTACATGTTTATAGCTTTGAGATGTATTTTGGGTCCTAGAATGTTGTATATAAGTTGTTAAGTGTTAATAGCATTGAAATACTAATGCAAGTTTAGGATTGTTGATTTGATCATAACTATAAATATTGATCGTGCAATGCAATGCTAAAAAGCTTCCCCTACTATTTTTGGTATTAAGAGATTGAGGAGTGAAAATTGGTGTGACTAAAATTATATGTATGTAGTGTATTGTACTGATAGTCTTAAGTCCATTAAGTGTGATTTAGATGTTAGAAATAGTTTTTGGCACAAGTGTGTGGTTTTGGATACCCTTGAATTGTGAAAGTTGTGAAAAGGTCTGAAAATGTGTTTGGGTATCCATCCTCTTTGTGTAACATAATTTAGAAGTAAAACTCATCTCATTAGCTAGTTTATGAAAAAAGCTTTTAGTAAACACTTGGATCACATTATTCAAATGTCGGATGGAAAAATGAGATGCATCAAAAATTGCCTAAGTTTACTGTCAAATGACAATAGAATTGTTGTCTGAAATGTGCAACACGTCACGGCGTATGGCACTTATGCTGCAGCACGTAGCTAGAGATGAATAGCTGCTGCACTTGTACACATGTCGCTGCACGTTGTCCTGTTTTTCTTTCCTTGTTGTTTTTTAAGTGATTTTGAGTCTTTTCACTCCCATGGGATATCCTATGCTTCCGAAACAATATTTTACTTTGATAAAATTTTGTTAAATGATTGTTGAGTATTTTAAACTATAAAAACTTGAAATTCTATTTTTATATATTTCAAACTTGGTAATCTAATTGGCTTAGCCCAATTATTGTCTTAGATTTTATAGTAAATGTGTTTAAGTAAGGGAAATTTTACACACAACACACATCCAAGTTCCCACTACCCTACTAACAATACTTCTTAACTTCTCCCAAACAAGCCTTTTTATCTTCAATTCTAGGGGCACTATAAATAAAAGTCACATAATTGTATAATGCCATAAAACTATACAAAAGCCTTTTTATATTGTTTTAGCCACTATTAACTGCATACTTGTATGAATAATATTTTTTTTAATAATGCCATACATTGATATCCACCTCACTTGACCACCAGATAGCTAAACCCCCTCCAATTGATATCTACCTTAATTGACCACTAAATAGCTAAACCCCCTTACTTCTTACAAGATCCACATAAAATTCTTCCTTTAAACTACACTTTTTCTTCAATTAAAATAACTTCCTCCTTTCTAACCT